AGGAGGCGAGTTAGTTTCAATTTGTTATACTAGTAAGGAAGAAGTTTTTCCAGGTCAAAGTTGTCCAAATATGGAATGAGAGAAGATGACATTCACTGTTAGAGACTATTAAAGCAGAAGGTGGGGAGCACTTTGCAGGAACGTGGTGGTTGTATTGATTTTCAAATTCAGACAAGGGATATTAGATAATCTGGGCAGATGCTGAAAATAGAAGGTCCAGAGTCCAGTCCATGGGGATGCCCTGGGATGTGTATTTTTAACAAACTACACAAGCTATTCTCATGTTCAGTGGGAAGGCATCAGACGGCTATAAGGAACTGTTCCAATTCAGGAGTCTATAGTCTTCTGCATGAGTTAATGGAATTAACAGCATTGCAATGGTAGTGAAGACCCCACATTCTATCTTGGTTTTGTCGCTAACAAGTTGTGTGGTTTTTGAGCACATTATATCGTGTTTCTGCAAGAATAGTGAGACTAGATGTATTTTGTGGCTCTTATATGCTTGGGATTTATGTTTCTGAAGGTAGCCTGGAAAAAACTAATCTTCAAAGTCCCTGGAAAATTCCTCATGACATTCAGGTGATGGAGAATTATCCTTGAATAACTATCTATTACAGATGGGAAAGGCCATGCAACCTGGCTGGTTTCCTGGAGTTGGCAGGCACTAGGCCCAGGATATGTCTACCATAGTGATTTTCAACCATTTTCATTTCATGGCACAGGTAAATTAATTACTAAAATTACGTGGCACACCAAAATATATGCTATACCTTTTGCCAATCTGACAAAAAGATAAATGGTATAATTTTGACTACTTGTGTGACCTTGAAAAGATAATTTAGGCTCTTGAATTTGTAGTTTCCTCAATTACAAAATGGTGATGATAACAATAGTTCCTATTTTATAGGATTTTTGTGAGGACTAAATGAGATGTAGCTCTAGAATTACGGTTTCAGTTGGTGCTGTGATTGTTGTTGAAACAGCCCTCTTTAATACTTGCTTAGACTCTCTCATCTAAAGATTCCCTAAAGGCTGGAGAAAGAATAGCCTTTCTTTAAATTCATAAATGTTAATAATATCAACCCTCCATAAATGTGTCTTAAATTCCAACTCTATAAACAAAATCATTTTGACTGAAACTGGGAATACTTTTCATGCATTTGGGCCTATGCAAAAAAAATTTTTTTTTCTCCACTTGCAATTACCTTCCCTTTTCTATTTTTATATTCATGTTTAAGGCCTAGTTCTAAAATTATTAATGTGGTGGATAATTATAATCATGTCCTCCAATGAATCATGTCTCCCCAGGTCAACCTAACATTGCTACTCCTACACTAGTAGGTGGAGTTGGTTTCTCCCCCCTCTTCAGTCAAGGCTAGTCTTGGGATTTGCATTTAAAGAATAGACTGTAGTAGACTTGACATTGTATGAGTTCTGGAACCTCGGCTTTAAGAAGCCTTATAGTTTTTGTCTTCTCCCTCTTGGCACTCTGAGACTGTCAGGCTGTGAAGAAGCCCAGTTAAACCTACTGGGGGTACAAGGTGACATGGAGGAGAATTGAAGCCTCAGCTAAGAGTAAGCATTGCTGCTAAACAAATGAGTGAGACCTACCCTGTGGTATCAACTGAACTATCAGATGAGTAGAGCCTCATTGATGAGACCTGCAGAAGAAATGCCTGGATTGCCAATTCATGGAATCATGATCATGAGAAATAAAGATTCATTATGGTTTGTGGTGGTTGGTTTTGCAAGATATTGATATATATCCTCAGAGAAATGTTCTAGAAATACTCAAGAAAATTACAATTCTGTCCTCTGGGCTTTGTACATTCTTCTATGATAGCACCCAGCTCATATAATTATTGTTCTACCAGTGTTTGTTTTTCTCACTAACTTAATAGCTTTTGAAAGTAGATATCAGGTTTCCATTCACCTTTATATATGCTGTGACTATTCTAGTGCCTGGTACCTAGCAACTGTGGACATTTATTCCCCAGGTAATGCACTCACCATTTTCTGGAATGCTTTTACTTGATCTCTGGAACTCATGGTCAATCATAAGTAAAAAAAAAAAAATTATATCCTCAACTTTTCAGTCAATATTCCTTTTATCTTCTTGTTCTTCCCCAGTGGCCATGCTTCCTTGAAGCCCTCTTAGATGGTGGCTGTTTTGCCTCCCATGCCTTAAACATAAAGGGGTTTGAGAGTAGGGAAGTGATCCTATGATTTATGTTTCTTATGTTTTTTTTCAGACTGCCTTTATTTCCTCCTTCTTCTTTAAAAAAAATCAGCCACTCAGGTTTGACTCCCATGACTTCATATTAAATGACCTAGACCTCTTGTTGTGAAAGTCATTTATTGATCCCTGGGCCTCTGCCTCTCATTCTATAAAGATTTTAACCACAGATCCAAAACCACTCTAACACTCCCAGAAGTGATTCCAAAATCCAGATAGCTCAATCTACCAAAATCATGGCTACTTAGCTCCTTGTCTTCCTCTCTTCCACAGATCTTGTTTTTCATCCTACCTTAGTCATGTATTCCTTTGATCAGACTTTACCCATTGTCACCACTAATGCAATGCTAGATATTAACTTTCCAATTGCCACCTTCTATATTTTTAGCTTTCTTACTCTCACTTCCAACTCCAAAACTCCTTTGCCACTGGACTTAAAATTTATTGTAATTACCACTCTTCATTGTTCCTTACCTATCTCATTATTCAGTTAAAATTTAATGGTCAATCCTTTTGGTTCTTCTCTTGTCTCTTTCTTGATTTATCACACTCTTATATTTGATATAGCCCTAATTAAGTCCAACTTTCTACCTAATAGGTGCCCACATCTGGGGAGCTAAAGTGGCTGGAGAAAGAATAGCCTCTCTTTAAATTCATAAATGTTAATAATCTCAAGAGAATCCTTAATGCTACCTACCACACAAAACTCTATTTCCTAGCTAATTAATCTCTTTTCTTTCCTAGATGACTATTTTATAGCTTCTAATTTATCCCCAGACCTTCAGCAACTTACCCTCTTTGCTTCCCATATTACTAAGAAAATAGGAACAATTAGAATAAAGTTTCTAAGAGCTCCCACCACATTTCTATGCTTACCTGTACCTCTGTGCATCTATTATGAGTCCCTTCTTTTTCTGTGAATAAATTGTACATCTTCCTAGCCAAGTCTTCCCACCTATCTATGCATTACATTCAAGCTCTTACCTACTTGCTGATATCACTTTTTGAATTTTCTCTGTTTCCCTTGTACCACTTTTCCCTTTGGAGTGAACCATTCTCATTATTATAAACATATTGCCACTTTCACATTATTTGAAATCCTGCAAGTCCTGACCCCATTTACCCATTTAGATACTACTGCATGTCTTCCTTTAAAGACAAATTCCTTCAAAGATTAATTACACTCACTTCTTCAAATTGCTCTCTTCCCATTCTGAATTGAACCAACTCCAATGAGGCTTTCTACCCTCAATGTTTCATGGAATGTGCACTTATCAAGGCCAGCAATCAATTTTGATGTTGCTAAATTCAGTTATCGATTCTCAGTCCTAATCTTAGTTGATTTTTTTACATAGTAGATCAATTCCACTCTTCCTTGAATCATTTTCTTGAAAATTTGGCTTCCAAGAAGCCATATCCTCCTGATTTTTCTCCTTGTCTCTAGCTACTCCTCCATTTCTTTTTTAATATTAAAAAATATTTATTGTTGAGAGTATTATCCCCCTCCCCTTTTTTCACCCATTGCTCCCCTTCACCCAGTTCCTACTCAACCCTAGGCCTTCACCATCCTAATGTCTGTGTCCAGGGGTAGTGAATATACCAATACAGGTTCTTTGGTTAATTTCTTCCCCTATAGAAAACCCTAAAAACTCCACCCCAAACTACTAGATTTAACAAATGAATCTGGCAAAGTAGCAGGATACAAGATTAACATCCAGAAATTAACAGCATTTTTATACACTAATAATGAACTCTCAGAAAGAGAAACTAAAGAGACAATCCCATTTACCACTGCAACAACAACAACAAAATTAAGATACCTAGGAATAAATTTAACCAAGAAGATAAAAGACCTAAACTCAGAAAACTACAGGACATTGAAAAAAGAGATGGAAGAAGGTACAAATGAGTGAAAGCATATACTCCTCAATTTCTTTTGCTGATTCCTGTTAGCAGCCCATTGCCACAAGCAGGATACAGAACAGTTTCATTGCCTCCTAAAATTCCCTTGCACTTTCCCTTTGTAGCACATTCTTCCCATAATTCCCAATCCCTGGTAACCATGGATCTGTTCTCCAGCACTACAGTTTTTGAAATGTCATATAAATGGAATCATATCAATATAATATCTAACCTTTTGAGATTGGCTTCTTTCATTTGGAATCATATAGTATCTAACCTTTTGAGACTGGCTTCTTTCATTCAGAAAAATTACTTTGAGATTCATCCAAGTTGGTATATGTATCAGCAGTTCACTTCTTTTTATTGGTGAATGAGCACACAAAACATACAACTGCACTCCCCAAAATAACACAAAAAAACATTTTTAAGACCACTTCTTTTAGGGGTTTGAGTGCAATAAGTTAAAAAACTTAAAGGCATTTTGAAGAATCTGAACATAAGACTTTCTTAAAGCTTGTTTGAAACTAAAGTAAGTTCCTTAACATTTTTGCGCTTGTCTACATCCTGTAGGCCATATTGCTGATGGGCTAGCCTGTTTATTAATGCACTTGTTATTCCCCAGAATCCTTAATCTATACACAGAAGGGCTGGTCAGGCATGGTAAAAACCATTCTTAATTATCAGCAAACAGTAATCTCTTCCTAGAAACTAGGACTACCATCAACTGTAAGAAGCATGTTGAAGGTACCATCTTTACTATTCACAAATTCTTAGACCCCCCGGTCCCCAGGTCAATATCAAGGTTACATAACTCTTCAGCCTTTCCCTGTTGCCACCAAAACCTTATAAGAAGAATGTTTACCTGTGACAACACTGGGGATTTTGGAGAGAAAGCTCTTGACTGTTCTGATGGGCACGCCCCCTGTCTTGTCATCTTGCATCTTTGTAATGATGTCTTCAATCTGAAAGAGGTTAAAGAAAAGAAGTGTTATTGTCTCCCACAAAGTAATAGTAAACATCTTTATAAATAGTCAAATTTTTTGGGAATGCGGATACAAACAATAGGTATCAGAAAATGGCAGTCAATACATACAGAAGTTACACAGAACTCATTTACTCACAATTTTTTGGCCAGAACTAGTTAGTTACACAGCACTACCCAACTACAAAGGAGTCTTCCAGGTGCTAGGAAGACTCACAAACTGACCCCTGTGAGTAATATCTGACTACCATAGAGATTAAACAACCGGTCCCAGCTCACAGCTAACCAGTTGTGGATCTTCCTTTGAACCCAGCCATAGAACCCAGAGCTCAGGCTTCCAATCCCTGGGTTGCTCTGCCACTTGATAAGTTTCCCAGCAGGGAGACCATTCTCCCATAGATATTTTTGGGTTTTCCTGAGAGGTACTACTAGTGAGAGGGAATCTGAAGCTACTGACATCTTAGGCCAGTGGTTGCCAACTGGTGGTCTGCGGACCACTTGGGGGTCTATGAGGTCTGAAAGATTGGTGACCACTGTCTAAGGCAGTGGATGGATATGTCATGCAAGGAAAAATGGTCATTCTCTGAAGACCTGCATCCTGTTAAATGACAAGAAAAGGATTGTCATTTGCATTCATGTTCATAGTTTCAACTAGTGCCCCACCTTCTGTCCTCCAGACACAGCCCAATGATTTAGAATAGCTTGAGTACTACTGATAGTCAAGGAGAGTAATTCCTAGAAAAATGGACATTTTCAAAGCAATCCATGCTTTGATCTATTGTGCTATCTGAAACCCAATAGGAGTTACATTGCTGCTTTTTAGGAAATGGCCTGAAAATCATGGGGAATTGGAGGGAAGCCAATGTTTCAATTTGGTTAGAATGCTGATGTCATTAGATGGTAATGATTTCCATTCTCTGCTAATGTGAGCTGCAGTTAAAGATTAGCTGTGCAGAAGTCTCCACGATTCTCTTACCTTTGCTCTGTGTAGTTGCTTTATCACACCATTGAATCTTTATTATTATTATTATACTAGAGGTGTGGTACATGGAATTCATGCACTAGTGGGGGGCATGCCCTGTGGGATTGGTCCACTGTGGGAGCCCCGCTCATCCCAGTCAGCCGAACAGCTGTGGATCCACCCTTTGAGAGGCTGCTCCTGGTCCGGCATCTTCCGTGGAGCCAGAGAATTCACCACTCCAGGGGACCCAGTCAGGGCTAGGACAATAGCACTGAGAGGTGGGGGAGTAGGCCTTAGTCCTGTGGCGGTCACGAACCCACCTCTCAGCCTCCAGGGGCTGGTGGCAGTGCTGCGCAGCCTATGGGCATCCAGTGGATATGGCAGGGAGCAAGGAGGTGGAGCCTGGGAGGAGGAGGTGACAATTGCAGCCCGGGTTTCTGCTCATTGGCCCGGGTTCACAGCAGGAGCAGCCACTCATCCCAGTCAGCTGAATGGTGCTCCCATTATGGCAGTGCACTGACCACCAGGGGCAGCTCCTGCATTGAGCATCTGTCCCCTGGCGGTCAGTGTGTGTCATAGCAACTGGTTAACCGGTCATTCTGGTTACTCCACTGTTCAGTTGCTGGGCTTTTATTATATAGGATAACTTTCAGGTGTATAACATTGTAATTCAACACCTATGCAAACTTCAAAGTGGTCACCCAATACCTAACTTCTTATCTTGGCCTACAATGTTCAGAGAGGTGTTACACTCATCAGAGGTCACAATTGGATCAAAAGGACAATCCCCTTAACTGACCAGAAAGGGGTTACATTCTAGCAATAGTTTACAATATCAGAGGAATAGAAGAATGTATCATTAGGCCTCAATTTTGGACTCCTCCATATATTAATATACACCTAAATTCTCATAGAGGGCAGAGTCTGCTTCTTGACTTTTTGGTTTGGTCATGTGACTTGCCTGGCTAATGGGATGCTATTGAACATGATATTAATAGAGACTTTCAAGATACCTGCATGGTTAGGGTCACCCTTTTCTCTTGTCCTTCTGTAGCAGATAGTTGTTTTTTCCAAGGAAGGTGAGAGACATGTGGAGTAGAAGAGACCCATCCCTGACTAAATCAATCAAACCTCAGCTGCCCTGCAGGCTCATGAGGAAGAAATAAATGCTTATTGTTATATGCCACTGAATTTGGGGTGGTTTTCTATGCAGCAAAATTGTGGCTACAGCTGACTGATACAACATGTTGAAATTGAGGCTCAGAAAGTTTAAGGGATTTGTTCAAGGACACAAAGCTAGTAAATGGCAAAGCCAGGATCCTTACCCAAGTCTTCCCGACTCTAATTAATACTCAAGCTCTGTCTATCAAATCTAAGATTTATCTTTTTATCCTTAACCAGTGCCTGCCAACATGCTTTTCAGATACAGACACTTAATACTGTTTGTATTGAAGGGAAAGTTTAGTTCAGTCCTAAGGGGGTAGAGCAGGAAACAGAGAAATTGATCCAGATAATCAGTTTATCAGCCATCTCAGAATTGATTTTGGCCCAATGACTGATGAGCTCAGCATTATCTCTCTTTGTCCTAAGGGTTTAGTTGGATTTATCTTATACTGGAAGATCACATCTTCTGGGCTTGGAACGGAGAGATGGGAAGGCATATATACTTATATTTTCTTGATTGTTCAGGTCTACCTTACTTCTGACACCTTTTGTTCCTGAGGAAGAGCAAAATCAATTCCCTGGCATCCTTTCATAAAAGTTCTGTGTCACTGTGAAGCTTGTTGGACCCAGTTTCACTGTGCTAATCAGTTAGCAGGTGGCCTTTATCTGACAGCCAAGTGATGCAGAGAAACCACTTGGCCAGCTCCACTGATTCTGCCTGGATGGGTCACAGCAACCAGGAAGCCCTTCTCCAAGGAGATTCATGCTCCACGCTAACTAACGTGCAGGTAAAACATTTTCTAAACAGCAGGAGAGAATGGAAATCGTTATACCGCAGGGTGGGTTTTCTCTGAAAAAGAGGAATATTATGAGATGGTAGAAACAGTTCATTGAAATAGCCATGGAGTATAAGAGAGAATGAAGAGAAGCAATCCTCTCTTTTCAAAACTAAAGCCTCAGAAGGACAGCAGGACAGTAAGTCTGAGGCCTGAGAGAAATGCTGGTCTTAGTTTCACTGACTTGCTGTGTTGACCTTGGACATGTTACCTAAACTCTCAGGATGTCACTTCCCTCATCTCCACAGCAACAGCTTTGGTTGTTAAACAACATTCTTTGTTCTAAAATACAAGAGACTCCACTGACTTGACAAATGTAAATTTATGCCTGTGAGTAAAGTAATCAGACCTTGGGGTTCCCATTCCCCTTGTTGCCCATCTTCCAGGTGGACCCATGAAGAATGCTCCTCTGGGCTGAGAGGTACAAGGTGTGGGGAGGGTGCTGGGCAGGAAGAGGGGGTTTTGATATTTTGAGAAATCATTTTGGACAAATGGCATCAGAAGCCAGATCAAAATATGAGCCCAAGTGGCCCTGACACTGCTCTTTCTTGACCAGTCCCATGCCTGCTCATCTCTGCTAATAAACATGACAAAAGGCCAATATCAGTTTTGTTTCTAAAAATTAATTATCCAATGAATTAATTTATTTAGCTACTCCAATATTTCCTTCGTGGAAGATTCAAAAATTTTAAGAATAAACAAGCTATGTTGTCATTATTTTAAAAACAATCCACCACAACTTTAGCAAAGAAGGCAAAGTATGCCCCAGGCATGAAGGTCTTTTTTATTGAAGCGTTTCAACTTGACTTTGCAAACACTTGCCTATTTCTAGAACTAATAACTGTCAGTTCAGTTGCATTTCATTAAAGACCCCTTCTGTTTTGGTATCTGAGAATGAGTGAAAGTAAGTTTTTGGACACATCTTATCAGCCCAGAGGCAGAAATCAGAACTGGCAAATGATAATCATATTTCTTAATCCAAAATGTGCATGCTTCATTGAGCATGCTCTGTCCCATATGTGCTCCATAGATTGGGCCTTTCCTCATTTTTATTCTTAAAAACACAGCACACTGCTGTCCTCAACTTTTAAATATAACGAGCTTCCCTTACTGGTTTAGTGGACATGTACTGAACACCTATAAAAGTAGGTAAAAGATAGAGTCTGTCCCCCTTCATCATGGACTAAAATTTTTCAGAAAGGTTCAGGGCTGTAGGCTCACAGTTAAGGATGTGTTGGAGACAGAAGAGCCAAGTATGGGTTCTAAAGAAGCTAGGAGTGAAATACTAAGGAGTATCACTTTCTGAGGTCCTTGGAAGAAGAACCATCAAAGACTTCATCCATTTTTCATCATTCTTTCAGTGACAGGAGGAAAATTTTCAGATTCCTTGTACTAGCTATGATAATGGTTGAAATTCCAGTTAATTAGTTTTCAGTTAAACTTACTTTTGAATCACTGTGTATGTCTAGTATGCTTTTGATAGAAAGTAAAAAATAATGCAACCACCAAAGATGGGGTCTATTTTTCCCATGTAACAAACAAACTGTATGTGAGTGGCCATTGACATTACTCTAGCTACTTAACTCTACATGAACTACCATCATGGCCTTTCCCTCATGGTTGCCAGATAGCTGCCCCAGTTCCAGGCATCACTTTTATGTTAAAAAAGAAAAAAGGTGGAAAGTGGAGAGTGTTGGTATAGCTGTACTTGTTCCTGGTATCCAGAAAAGCATATTCCCTCCCAGAATTTCCCAACAGATCTCTGGGCTAGTCTCATTGGACCAAACAGGGTCACATGACTACATGTAGCTGAAAAGGAAGCTGGGGAAGAGGGTATTTAGCTTTTCCAGTCTCTATACCACATGGAAACATGGGAAGGGGAGAATGGAAATGGGGTTAGTTTAATCAAATAACACTGTCTACCACAAAGACACTGTACTAAACAACATTCATAAAGGATGGTTGAGCAGGCCTTGATTCCTTTCGGATCTGTTCTCCACACTGCAACCTCCATGACAC